AAGATGTGGTACATATACACAATGGAATATTACTCAGCCATAAGAAAAAAACAAATCCTACCATTCACAGCAATATGGATGGAGATAGAGGGTATTATGCTCAGTGAAATAAGCCAGGCAGAGAAAGACAAGTACCAAATGATTTCACTCATATGTGGAGTATAAGAACAAAAGAAAACTGAACGAACAAAACAGCAGCAAAAGCAGGGAACCCAAGAATGGACTAATAGTTACCAAAGGGAAAGGGACTGGGGAGGATGGGTGGGAAAGGAGGGATAAGGGTGGGAAAAAAAGAATGGGGGCATTATGATTAGCATGTATATTGTGGAGGGGTGCATGGGGAGGGCTGTGCAACACAGAGAAGACAAGTAGTGATTTTAGAGCATCTTAATATGTTGAAGGACAGTGACTGTGAATGGGGATGTGGGGGGGGACTTGGTGAAGGGGGGAGCATAGTCAACATAATGTCCTTCATGTAATTGTAGATTATTGATACCAAAGTAAAATTTTTTAAAAAAGCAGGATTTACTTGGAAGACTCCAATCCCCAAAAGAGAATTGTCCTGGAGACCCCTTATCAAAACAGCAGCACAAGTAGATCCAGAGCAAGGATAGAGGCAAGATACACATTTTCTAGTTGTCAAATGATTAATCTGGAAATATTATCTTATTCAATTAAGAAGTAAAAACAACCCAGGACTAGATTTATGAGAATCTGGTGTTGGGAACTCAAATGACGGGATGAGAGCATAGTTTTTCTTTCTCCATTTTTAACTCCATCTCCTGAATATCAGCTTGACTTGCACATAGCTTCCAGCAGCTCTGGGGCTAAATGCTTTCCCTTTACACTTATGTCTGTATGGTTAGGGTGCAGGGGGTGGTGATGGAAGATAACATCTCTTCTAACATGCAGAAGAGGGCTTCTTTAAAACTGGACCACATAGGTCATGTGCCCAATCTTGAACCAGCCACTGGCCAGAAGCATGCCAGGCACTGACTGATTATAAGGGAACTCATTGCATTGGTGGGACAGAGTGGGTGTGTGTGTGAACTCATTCTGATGGCCTTAGGTCCCCCAAGTATGGTGGGTAACCTAAGGTGGTGGAGCCAGTCCCACCTATGCACTTATAATGGGATATGAATGGAGTAGATATGGGGATTTCACCAGGTCCTGGATTTAAAATGATTTTTGTTTTCTTTTTTTGTGCTTTTTTGATTTTTATATTTGCTCTGATGAATGTGTATTTTGTAATAAAAAAGAAAAGGGAATGAAAAATAAAGTTGAGAAAAAAAGAATACATAGCAATAGAAAACATTAAAATTTAGAAATGATAGGCACAGTGAATGCAATCAAAAAGGTAAATAAAATGTATGACTTTTAATAAAAATACAATATATCAATCTTAGATTAAAAAATAGAGAATAACCAGAACTGAAGGGGAAAGTGGGTAAGTTATCAAAGAGGCACACTTCCTTCCCCTACCTATCCTATTCACCAGTGTTTGAAAGTTTTCTCTAAATTTTCAAAAGTAAATAATCTTTTTTTTGCAAAACATGGCATTATGCCTATGTTGTACATTTGTCACATTTGTGGCTGACAAATTTCTTTTGAATACCTTCCTGTGTTTGGGGCATTTCCCATATTATCAATCCCTCTTCCGCATTGTGGAAGCCAGGCCATGGCACCCCCCGCCTCTCCTGCAGTCAGACACAGGCTCAGTCAGAGACACATGCAAAGCGAAATATAGGAAACAGAGTATGTAGTGTAGATCAACTTTGGGCAATATTAGTGCCAGGGCTTCTGCTGTCTGTTCCCATCATCTCTGATGGGAGCCACAGGGTCTAGGCCACAGTGGTGGCAGCAGAAGTGACCAGAGCATGGTACCATTCTGGTCTTCTTGATGCATAGACTCTAATTCTATGTCTCTGCCCATCCCAGATGTTGTGAACTTCCAAATACCATTGAATAGATTCTCTTTCTGACTAAATTACCTAGAGTAGATTCTGTTGTTTGCAAAAAGAATCAGACTGATACATTATCCAGTTCACTCTACAGGGCAATGATAGAACCTATCTTGCAATTTGACAACTATTTTTAAATAAGTTCTTTAAATTTTGAGATATTTGAAGATTTACAGTACCTTTTACTTAGTTTCCCCCAGTGGTAACATCTTGTAAAGCTATAACACAGCCAGGATATTGACACTGATATGACATTGGTACAGTCAACCTACAGAACATTTCCATCACCACCAGCATCCTTCATGTGCCCTTGTAAAGCGACCCCCACATCCATCCTACTCCTCCCCCTGCTTAAACCCTGACAACCATTAATTTGCTCTCTCCATTTCTAAAATTTTGGCATGTAAAGTATGTTATGTAAATGGAATTATAGTATGTAATCTTTGGGGATTGACATCTTTTCATTCAACATAAGTCTTTGGAGATTCTTTCATGTGACTTAAATGGATTGTTCCTTTTCATTTGCTGAGTATTATTCCATGGTATGGGTTACTGTAGTGTGTTTATTTTATTTATTTATTCATTTTTATTGAAGTATAGTTGATACAAAATATTATATTGGTTTCAAGTATACAGCACAGTGGTTCAATAGCTACCCACTAAATCCTCACTCCAACTAGTGCAGTTACTATCTGTCAACATAGGAAGCTGTTCATAGTGTGTTTATCTACCAGTTGAAGGACATCAGAGTCGTATCCAATTTGTCTATTATGAATAAAACTGCTGCCAATATTTGGGTACACATTTTGTGTGAACGAAAGTTTTTATTTCTTTGCAATATATATCCAGGAGTGAATTGGTGTGTCACATAGTAGTTGCATATGTAGTTTTTTATGAAAATGTCAAACTGTTTTCTAGAGTGGCTTTACCATTTTACATTTCCACAAACAAAGTAAAGTCATATGGTTTCTCAGAATTTGGTGTCACTATTTATAGTCATTCTGATACATACTGGTGATATCTCGTTGAAATTTGAATTCGCATTTCCCTAATGACTAATGACTTTAAGCATCTTTTCATGTGCTAATTTTCCATGTTTATATCCTCTTAGGAAAAAATGCCTGTCCATGTCTATTTTCTAATTGGATTAATTTATTCATCCATTTTCTAATGGGGTTGTTCATTTTATAAATGTTGAGTTTTGAGAGGTCTTTAAAAATCAGTACTTTAGATACTAGTCATTGTCAGATATGTGGTTTGCAAAATTTGTGTTTTGATAAAAGTCTTTCTCCTCTTAAAATGGTTTGTTGCACAGCAAAAATTTTTATTTTGATGAAGTCCAATTTATTAATTACTCCTTTTTTAGATTGTGCTTTTGGTCCAAAGGCCTGAGAACCAGCAGCACCAGTGCCCAAGGCCTGGAGAAGGAGGATGTCTCAGGTCAAGCGATGACAGCAAATTTGCCGGACCTCTGGCTTTCTGGTCTACGGGAGCAGGCAGCAGATTGGACGAGGCCCACTCACACTGGTAAGGGTGATCTTTTTTCTTTCCACCTTCATTGAGATATAATTGACATATAACATTGTGTAAGTTTAAGTTGTACAGTGTGGTGATTTGATACAATTACATAAAGAATGGAGTGGTGACATGGAAAAAAATACTAAGAAAAATAAAGATAAGGATCATCCCTTTGAAGCATGTTGACATATACACATTTCAGACTTCAGTGTTTTGGACATTACCTTCAAGGGTTTGCCATATTCATTACCAACCCAACTGTTATCTGTTAAATGTATTTTTTATAGATTTACTAATTTAATTGAGCAGAGATTATATATTCTAGTCTTATATCTATAAAAGAAAAGGCATATATGAAAATGAAAATACTAAGAGTGGTCCATCTACTTGTCACTTAAATTGTTTCAAAAGCCATAAATCCTTTCCCAAAGGTAATGCCCAGTTCTTGATATGGCTTCTGAAAGAGGAATGTCCCCGAACCCAATCCAGTGATCTGTTTCTACCTCTTCATATCAAACTCCCCAACATTGCCTATGACATCAAGCCTTCTCTGGTTTGTTCAGAATGTGGTTTATTGCTACTTAGGAGGCAGCTCTTTAGCTGTTATCACTGCCATCAGGTGATTTTAGAAGTGAATTGCGACTGAAGTACATACCTAAGAGTGTCACAATATGTAGGTAAATGTCCCATCCTTGGTTTTCATAATTTAACCATGGTGGTTATTATGGACATGGTGTACATGGTGGCTCATCATGGACAGACAACAAAGGCATGACTCTCAAAAGGTGAAGCTGGATGTTTGAGAGTCTGAAGAATAATAGCCCTCAAGGCAGTCATGTAACACAGTCAAGCTGTGAAGGAAGAGACTCCCCAAAACAGAATCTTAATGACTGTGAGGCTCCATGGTAAAGCTTTGGTTCATTTCCCAGCTCTGATAATTATTGACTTTATAACTTTGGGCAAGTTTACTGTACTTCCATGTATCTCTATTCTCTCATTTGTAAATTGGGGAAAACAGCTCTCATCTTCCTCATGAAATTACTGTGAAGACCAAGTGAAAAAATCTATATAAGCAAAGCATTCATTAGTCCCCAGCACATAGGAAGTGCTCAGTAAAAAACAGGTGCTTTAATTATTGTTATTATTTACTTTGATATTATTAAGGTATCAAACAAAAGATCCTGAAATTTGTATAGACTAGACAGAACAGTTAAAGCAACCAGAAGGCAGTGTCTGCAAAGATGAACACAGGCCTGCCCCACAAGCCTGTGCCTGCTAGCTGGAACTCCCTCCATGCCTAGAGCTGGGTGGTGACTACTGACCTGTTGTGCGTGGTGTGACTGGGGATGGCCGTGGGGGTGCTGGCTCCCAGCAGTGCAGAAAGCAGGAGCTAAGGGGCGGTGTGCTCCTGAGACAGCTCCCAGAACAGAGGTTCCTCTGCCTCCAGGAGGTGGCAGGGTAGGGATGGGTGGCTGGTTCAGCTCTCTAGCAGAAAGCGAACCCAAGCCCAGGCCACAGTGACTGTTCCCAAGGCTGATGTCACACAGCGCACCTGCTCTTACCTAACCCGAGTTGTACCCATGATAATTTTCCCAGGGAAACATCAGCCCAGAGGACCTGACTGGTAAAAAAGGAGTGGGAAGGCAACAGGTGTGAAGGAAGCCAGGTGTTCACAGGTAGACTACTGGACGTTCTGGGGAAGGGAGGGTATGAGAGGGCACAATCGATTTGTATCCAAATATACCCAAACCTCTAAACCCTGGATCAACATTTGCTCACAGGATGACCCCTGTTCCAACCTTCAACTAAAATTCCACTTTTGCCATCCCTAGCATCGTTATTCTCCTGGTCATCTGGGAATAAACTGTGAAGCTCATCTGTGCCTCTTCTATATTCTGCCACCACCATCCAATCAGCTTCCATGACTTTATTTCCTTCCTTTAAATTTTTTCCTCCCATGTGTTTCTTTCTCTCTGCCATCATGCTGGGCCAGGACCTCACTTCATCACTCACCATGTGACACCAAACTGGTACTGTGTCTCTTGTCCCTTTTTATATTGAAGTATAGTTGATATACAACAGTATATTGGTTTCAAGTATATGACAATGTGATTTGACAGTTACCTACATTATTAAATGCTCACCCTAACTAGTGCAGTTACTATCTATCAGAAAGATGTTACAGAATTCTTATCCTGTCTCTTATCTATCAGTCCATATCTCCAGTACCACAGCAGCCTTTAGTAGCTACCATTTTCATCATGTCAAACTTTTCCTCCAAAGCCTTCAGCCCCACCTTTGATAGCGCACAAAGCCCTGATTTTTTTCTTCACAGCTTTCTTGATGCTCTACAGTATGGCCTCCATGGGCACAGGGGCATAGCAGCTTTGTTCTAGTCTCCAGCCCTGAAGCCATCTTCACCTCCATCCCAACAAATGCACCACAGCGAGTGCTGATGTGTTCGGGACATACTGGCAATATGTCATTCATGTGATCATCTTAATGAATACTTTTCTGCTTGGAATGTGCAAGCAAGAGACAGAGGTGAAATGTGCTCACTGAGACGGAAGATGAAGACTCAGTATGATGTGGGCAAGAGCACTTCTGGCTTAGAATGCCATTCATTCCTACAAATATTTATGAAGCATCTTAGGTGGATGTGAAGGCGAAAGGGGACTGTCTCTGCCACTAGAGTCTGCAGTCATTAGGGAGATGAAGATGCAAGCCAGGGTGTCCTGGGTAGTTGGTCATTTTTTTAAATTAAGCTATCATTGATATATAATCTTATGAAGGTTTCACATGAGCAACATTGTGGTTTTAACATTCACCCATATTAACAATCCCTTCCCCAACTGCAATCACTGTCCATCAGCAGAGTAAGATGCTATAGAGTCATTACTTGTCTTCTCCGTGCTGTACTGCCTTCCCTTGTCCTACCTATATTGTATGTACTAATTATAATACCCCTCAATTCCTTTCTCCCTCCTCACCACCCACCCTCCCCAACCCCTCCCCTTTGGTAACCACTAGTCCCTTCTTGGGTTCTGTGAGTCTGCTGCTGTTTTGGTCCTTCAGTTTTGCTTTGTTGTTATAGTCCACATATGAGTGAAATCATTTGGTACTTGTCTTTCTCTACCTGGCTTCTTTCACTGAGCATAATACCCTCTAGCCCCATCTATGTTGTTGCAAATAGTAGGATTTGTTGTCTTCTTATGGCTGAAAAATATTCCATTGTTTATATGTACCACATCATCTTTAGCCACTCATCTACTGATGGACACTTAGGTTGCTTCCATATCTTGGCTATTGTAAATAGTACTGCAATAAACATAGGGGTGCATATGTCTTTTTGAATCTGGAATCTTGTTTCCTTCAGGTAAATTCCTAGGAAGGGTAAAATGACCCAGGAATTCCTGGCTCAAATGGTATTTCTATTTTTAGTTTTATAAGGAACCTCCATACTGCTTTCCACAATGACTGAACTAATTTACCTTCCCACCAGGTTTGTTGGTCTTCTCTGCACACTGCTCCGCCTGCACCAGCAGGTTTTTGACATACGCAGAGGAGTTCGGGCTCCTGCTCAGGAGTAGGGGGAATGGGCACAGAGCTGGAAGACTGCCCAGGTAAGGCAGCATTTGACCTAAGAATCTAAGGAGCTGAAAGATTTCAATCATACGAGGAAGGAGAGGAGAAATAATATGCCAGAAATAACTCCATGAGCAAAGGCACAGAGCAGGGCAAGAGGAGCCAGCCAAGGGCCAGAGTGCTTGGGGAGTGAAGACTCCCTCCCAACACCTCCCCTGAGACACTGAGATAAAGGAGGAGAGGAGGCTGGGTGTCTCCAGACTGATAAACAGGCTCCACCCAGCGACCAGTAGCATGTTCATGGGGTTGGGGTGATGCAGAAGTTCCCCTTCTCCAAGACAGAGGAACTGGGGTGGGGGTAGGAGGAAGGTTATTTCCTGAATCCCAGTTCTCAGACTCGGCACCTAGAGCAGAACCAGGCAGGATCCTAAGAGCCAGGGAGGACAGACAGACAGCAAGTCCCCTGGAGAAAACCATTCCGTTTGGGAGTCAGAAGCCTAGGGTGGGGAATGGGGACAGTGTCCCCTACTCCCCCCGAGAGGAGGGAATGTGTAGCTCGGAGACTGAAGCAAAGGGGAAGGACAGCAGGTGCTGGGCAAGGGCAGGAAGTGGGTGCTTCCTGGAGAGAGTTCACGCTGAAGCCTGGGTGGGAACACCGCCCGGTGGGAGAATGTGGGGGCTGTGCCAACACGACCTGAGGTGGTGTGCTTTAACACACCCACCTACTGAACCAGCTTCTCTTTGCCCCTCTCCACACTCAGGTCAGGAGGGTGGGGACCAGAGAGGCCACGAACCTCAGGGAACCCCCGCGACCAAGCCGGCAGAGTGGAATGGGGACTCTCTGGAGCCAAGAGGTAAGTGATACTTGGGCCTTTGCAGGATAGGTGTAGGACATCCTTCCTGCTCCAAAGTCCTATCAACACCCACGCCTGCACAGCCTGCCTGATCCTTACCCAGGATGCATGACAGGCCCTGCTGGCACAGCCACCGGGTGCACATGGCGCCAGGTGCCAGGGGGCTGAGGAGTCTTATTTCCATGCAGAAGGGCCCTGGCACTGACTTACTCGTCCCCCCTAACCCCTTCTCCTGCCCTGTCCCCGCCCCTCTCTCCACCCTCTCTCTGCCCCACCACGCTTCCACCCTGTGGTTGTCCCTTGCTGGTTCCTGCAGAGAGGGCTCCAGAAGAGGGCCTGCCCGCCGGATGGAGCCGACCGTGCTGACCGCGGGCCCTGGCCCAGCGGGGGCTGATGGCTGCCCTACTCTTTGGTCTGCTCCTTGGTTCTTCTGTGCTTTTGTTCTACATCTTCTGGAGCTGTGGCCCTCGTAAGCAAGATCCAGGAACCCCCCACCGAGTTGGGCCTCCCTCACAGTTAGGCGCTGTCTGTCCGTCGTCCTCCTGAGGCTCCCGCCCTCTGACTGGTTCCTTCTCCCTGGGGTCTCCCCCTGATGCTGCAGGCGTTCCTTCACCGAGCCCCCCAGGGAGCCCTCTCTCCATCCCCCAGCTCTGAGCTTTCCCCGCAGGCCCCTGTGTGCAGGGACCTCCGGGCTCGTACCTGGCCTCCGGGAACAGCAGTGGGGCGCCCGGTGCCGATTTCTTCAGCTCTGCCTGTGAAAAGGCCACAGGAACGAGTACTTCCTTCCAGACTCTTGCAAATGGAGATGTGTCTGGGGTGTTGTCAGTGTCTGTGTGTCTGCTTCCTGGGATCAGGGAGTGAGGATTCCAGACCAGGGAGCCCGCGCCTCCGCCTCCCCTTTGCTGAACATTCCCTTACGAGGGCTCCTCTCTGCAGCCCTTCCAGGTTCTCTGGCTTCCCGAATGTTCCTGATGTCTTCATCCGCCCTCCTCCTGCCTTCCCTGCCCACCCTTTCTCCTTCACCGGTAGTCCACTTGTTCCTCTTGCTTCCTTCCCCACCCCTCCCCCCTGTGTTTTCCTCGTATTTTCATCTTGACCTTGCCTTTATTTTCCTGGCGGCCTTCTCCGCACTCCCTTTCCCCACTCTCATTCCTCCGTGGAGTCCATCCGGCCCATGCTGAGTGGTTGTCCCATCTTCCCGGTTCTCCTCCATTCCTCCCCGTCCTTCCATTCCCGCAGAGGCTTTCCTTTCTTTCGTGTGAACAACCTGTCTCCCAGCTGCCCTGCATGTCTCTGCATCTTTAATTCTCCCATGCTTCCTTTTTTAGAAGCCCCTGGTTCCTGGCACCTGGGCTCTGGGCAGGAGAAAGCCTTCCAGATCTACAAGGCCTGCATGGACGCAGGTGCCACTGAGGCTGCAGGGGCTGGTCCCCTCGGACAAGGTACTGAGGAGGTGAGACCTCGGGCATCCACTTTCCTAGATACCAATGTATGCTCAGGGCTGCCTTTTTTGTATCTAGAGGGTGGGTCTCTTTCCCAGGGATCCCCAAGGGCTAGGAAGGACATGGAAACGACAACCCTGCAGAAGTATCTCAACCCTTGGGTGAGAGTGGAGGAAGGAGGATAGAGGTGGGGCCCCAGAGGGACGAGGGGGCATGAGGAGAGGTCAGCAAGGAGCAGCCGTCTGCGGATGGGGTTGAGTCTCAGAGACGGTGCTCCCGTGCTGAGCCGTGTCTCTCCTCTTCCCAGCTCGGATGCTGGCGAATCTCTGGGAACTGGACCTCCTTGGGCTTTAACTGAACTGTGAGACTTCTGATGAGTCCGTACCATTACTTCCCATTCTTCAGAGCCTATCGGCGACCTCACCCCAGCCTGCCACACGCTCCAGTCATCCAGGTGAAGCGGGCACAAGCAACAGGGCAGTGAGACCTGGGCCGCCATCTCTGCAAGAAGGCTGGGGGCCGGGGAGACGGGACGAATACGCAGCATAGGGAAGAGACCTATCTTTAGGGAAAATTACAGGTGTGAGGGGGAGGGCCACTAGGTGAGATGAGGGAAGGGCACCACAGGTCCAGTCTGAGAAGGTGCCAGTGCTCTGCTCCTCCTGACTGCTTGCCTGGACTACCCCCAGAGCCTCTTACTTAGTCCCCTATCTTCAGTCCTGCCCTCCTCTTATTTGCTTTTCATTTTTGCAAGAGGGACCTTCCTAAAATGAGCAAATTATGCTATTGTCTCTGAATGCCTTCGATGGCTCACCAGGTCACTAGGACCTCATTCTTCATCCTTAGCAAAGCATTGCAGGTCCTGCTGCGGTCTGACCCATACACGCTTTGCCAGCCTCATCTCCCACCACAGCCCTCCCCCTGAAGCCCCAAGCCATTCCCTTACAGCTCCAAGAATATTCCTCAGTTCTTTGCACACATGGCTCTCTGCCTGCAACATTCCTCCCCAACACCCCACTCGCCTGGAAAATTCGTACAGATTTTTCAAATTTTGGCTTTATTTTCTCTTCCAGAAAGCCCTCACTGACTCCCTGGCTATGAGTTGGGTGAACCCTGTGTCCTCCATTCCCCACGCTCTCAGCATTTAACAAGGGATGAAAACTGAGACTCTTACAAGTAGCAAAACACCTTACTCACCTTTTCCCTCCAGGACCTAGCACAGGGCCAGGCATCTAGAGGCCCACACCACGTGTTTGTTCAACAAGTAAATAAATATAAATATTGGCAGCATCAGTATTGTGCTGGGCATCATGATGCTGCATATTCAGCTCCTACTTTCAAAATGTCCTCAAATTTATATGAGGATAAATATTTAAGAGGAACTGATCATCAGTGTGAGGCATTCTAAGGTTCGTTTCTAAGCCGTGTGCTCAGTGTAACTGGTGTGGCCTATGGGGATAGTTAAGAACTGAAATGTTTCGGGAAAGGATCGGAGCGGGGGGATTGTGAGCCGAACCTCGAAGCCTGGTTGGTCTGAACAGGTGAAGGTGGAGCTGCAGGGCCTCAGAAGGGCTGCAGGGAGGTCCTGAGCTAAGGGGGGAACCTGAGATGGTGCAGCTCCTCTGTGGGCTCAGGAGGAGGCTGGTTTGTTGAGCAGAAGTTTTGGGGTAGGGATGAGGTGCCATGGGCGGTGAGAGTAGGGCTGAAAACATGAGATTGGGCCTGATTATTCCTGGCCTAAGAAACCAGACCAAGGCAATCACTTTTGACATAACAGGAAAAAAAAGGGGGCGCCTACTGAGGTCTTTCAAATGTGGTGGTTGTACACTGAGCTTTAGGTTGAGTCAGCAGTTTTGGAGGGAAACCTGGGGAAACCCACATGAGCAACTCAGAGGCTCCGAACTAAGATGACTGTGGCAGAAATGGAAAGTAAGGCCAGGCATGGGGATTTAGGCCACGGAATCTTTGTGGTGATGGTCCACGGTGACTGGAGGGCTTGGAGACAGAATATTCCGAGAAAGACGGCAGTTTTCATTTGGTGTGAATCGGAGGAGGCTGGTTACATCCTGAGAGTGGATGGACTCTCAGGGGAATCATGGGTGCAGGGAAAGCATAGAAGCACCCCAGTGAGGGGCATGGGGGCCGAGAAAACCAAGAGCACCAGGAAGCGGGGAGTCAGAGCCACATGGGTGACCTGGGAGGATGGGGAGGAGCCAGCTTCAGAAGAGTGGGATCACTTATTTCCAGAGATTTGGAGCCCAGAGAACAAGCAATGCTCCTTCCTTCTAGGAGGAACGCTTCTGGCGGATACTAGGAAGACAGTTCTGGAAATGGACACAGATTGCAGGGAGTCTAGGAGGGGAGGGGAGGAAGTGAAAGCAGGGGTATAGATAACTTTTAGTTCTTGAACGTTTGGACGTAAAATATGACAAAGGGGTCAAGTGGAAGTGGTTTTCAGATAGGGGAAAAGAAATAGCTCAAGGTGGGAGTGGAATATTGAAGCTGGAGAAGAAAAGGGATAACTGAGGGAACACAGATCCTAAGAATAGAGTGAGGGACATGCCAGTGCCAAACCTGAGGGGCAGGGGAGTGAGCGAGCTGCCTGCCTGGGGCACACACCAAAGAGGCCACCACCGGAAACTCGGTGATCCAGATAAATCATGTTTTAATGAATATTTCTGAAAAACTAAAGTCAATGCAAAAATGCATGGCTTTTTTGGAAAAAAGATCTTCCCCCCACCAAACAATCAAAACTTACTTGTAGACTTTTTGAAAACATCTGTAATTTTTTTTCAAAATGGATCAAAAATAGGTTTTTGATTTCCTGAAAAAAATCCATGATAAGCAAAGTTTTGCCACTGTATTCAGCATGGAGTTTTTGAATTAATTTTGGTTTTTAAAAGTATCAAGATATTATTTATCTTGACTGTTTTCAATACCTCTAAAATTTTGCGCTGGTATAGTATCATGTCACTCCCTTTGCTCTAGACCTGGCCGTGGCTGAAGGATGCTTTCCTTTAGCACCCGGATTTATTATGCTGCTCACTTGATGAGCACCCCAAACTGGATGAAATACCCACTCTCTTTCTGTTTCCATGTCTCCACTTTTTCCCTCATCTCCCTTGACCCAATCCCTACCTTTCTTCCCACCCCGGTCCTGCTCTGGGCCCTGTTTACTCCATTTCCTGAGGCCGTCTTCCAGGACACACCCGCTTCTCCCCCTGCCATGCTCTCCTTCCTCCACTCTCCCCACGTCTCTCCAGTCTCTCTTGTGTCCAGATAGACCAACCAGAGTTTGACATTCCCCTCAGGCAAGAGCAGGAACAGCAGATCTATGCTCAGGTAAGATGGTGATGTGGACAAAGGTCCTGACCTCTGAACTAGAAGAAAGGCAAGGGCTGCTGATGGTTGTGACTGAGGCTGCCCCTCCCCCAGATTGTGTGGAAATACCTGGCCTCCCTGATCTGGCTGGGAACTTTGCTGGGAGGAGACCCAAGCAAGTTGCAAGAACATGCCTCCTTGTCCATCACCATTACCTCGAAGCTGTTTCAGTTTCTGAGGCCCCTGGAGCAGCGGTGGGCCCAGGGGAAGCTCTTCCAGATGGTCACTGTTGACCAGCTTCAGGTGCCTTGAACTGGGGCCCAGAGGAGGGTGGACATGAGGGTTTCTCTCCCCAGCCTTCCTAACCTCGTTGCTTGATCTTCCTGGCTCCATCCCTTCCTGCATCCACCTCCCTCTGTAGTCCATCTCAAACCCTGAGGGAGGGGACTCCCCATCTCTTCCTTTCCTGCCCCCCACTGTCAACCTTTGTCCCTCTCCTCTAAGGCAATGGACCCTCCCATCGACTGGTTGTCCTGCTTGCAAGCGACATTAACACCCATGTCCCTGAGCCCCTCCCAGCCCCTTGTGGTCCATGACCTGGAGTATTTGAAAAATATGTCACAATTAATGAAAGAGCACCTGTTGGAGCACAGGTTTGCAGAGCTGGGAACAAGGAAGGAGGGTGGTGGGGAAAGGGGTTGAGGGCCCAGGGGCCTCAGGGCCAAGGAAGATTTTGGAGAATGAAGGCTGGTAAGAGCCTTCAGGAGGATGGGAGGAATCCATGAACACGTGGGGAAAGAGAGAAGGGGTGGGGTGGACGTCCTAAGAGGCAGTGGAGGAAACAGGAGGTCTGAGAGGCTTGGGAGCATGGGGAAGGGGAATGCACACGAGATGAAGGATGCAGGCATCCAGCAGAACCTGGCCTGTGGAGAGCCACTGAGTGGGAAGGATTGCTGGGTGGCCAGTCTCTGGGGACAGCTCAGGCGTGCATGCCTTGCTAACAGCTGAGGGATGTGGGCAGGAAGTAGAGGCACATGAGAGGAGTGGGTGGAGAAGGTGAAAGCTGGAGTGCTCTGGGTAAAGGAGAGGCCATTTCTCAGCTGGGCGAGAGGATTCTGGGGTCCTTATGGGGAAGGCAGGCTGAGGAGGGTGCAGGACGTTGGGTGAAGCTTGGTGTTGAGCTCTCTGCCACCACTGATGCCTGTGTGGTCACCATCTGAAGACAGTGGCTTCCTTCCAGGGGCTTGAGTTCAGGGCTCTTCTTAATGGTCCCTTCAGAACTAAATGGCAGCTACATCTAGAAATTTCCTTTTGAGGGAAGCAAACAAGCATTCAGGCAGGTGTGAACAGGTTTATATAAGGGTGCAGACCAAACCTGGGAACAGAGTTGCCAGCGGGGCAGAGAAAGGTCTCAATCCCAGCTGTGTTGTGCTTATAGGTACATCTTCAAATGAGCTGAGATTTCTTGGTTGTGGAAGCAGACAAATCTGTTTTGTTAAATCCTTTAGTTGAGTCTTCATAGAGCCTAGATTCTTCTCTCCCTGTGACTGGAGACATCTGCCTCTTCAGCTAGTTCCTTCTATCATTTTCCAGCACAAGTAAACTCTTGATGTCAAACAGCTATTTTCTATAAATATGGAGAAGGGGCTTCTCCTGGGAGTCTCAAGGCACCTCTGCAAGGGAGCATCCCCAGAGCCCTGGAGTGGATGGATGGGTCTCTTTCCTCTTCACAGGGACTTTCTGCAGAGCCACATGATCTTGGGCCTGGTGGGGGCCCTTTCTCCAGCCTTGGACAGTAAATTCTAGGAGGCACGCAGAATACTGAACCAGAAACTAGGAGAGCTGGCTGATCGACCACCCATGGTGAGGAAAGGAGGGTACGAGCTATCCCACACTGGGGGCTAAAAAAGGAGCATCTGCCGTTTTGTGGGATACATGTCTGCATATCTCTTTCAGGGAGGGGACCTGAGGGCAGATGCCCCTCCATGTCTGGGCTTTCCATGGAAGCAGACAAGTTGGGTATACAACATTCATGTTGATAACTGAGGCAGCAGGTACCGGATTTTAGGCACACATCTGGACACCTTTACGGCCTTTTGTTGAGTATTAAAGTTTAAATGTAAAATTCTAAAATTATCAACAACTGCTTTTCCTGTGTCATGACCCTTAAACTATTTGCCTAGGTATCCAGAGCTGTGTGATTTAAGGACCTGGACCCACAGCTAAGGATTCATCAGGGTGAGAGACAAGTGTAGAAAGCAGTGGCCTTCCCTCTGTCTAGGTGATTCCAGTGTTCAGTGTGCAAATGTGTTCCACACAGAGTTCATCTCTGATGTCCAGTAGGATCCATTGGGCTAAAGCACAGGCTTCATGGTATAGACCCTGATGCACCTTAGGAGGGGGCTGTGTAGCAAATGCACTTCACTAACTGAAGTCCACTGTGTTATGTAAGATGTGGAGACACTCCTTCACTGAGAACTTTGAAATCTGAGGTTGAATACATCCAGATGCAAGTGGAGGTATTTAAAACATTAGTTATGCTCTGCCCTCAGTGAAGGAAGGCCTCAGTATAGTATTGAAAATCACAGGGGTTTTTTCTTAGTAATTTGTGGACCTTTTTTTCTACCTTAGAGAAATTCACTGCTTTGGCAACCTGAAATATCTATGGAATGCAGAAAGGGGAAATGTATGTACAGGGGACTGGAATGTAGTTATTGCTTATTAAGAGCATATAATGTGCTACACATTTTTCTAAACTTAAGGAACTTGCTCAAGCAAATATAGCTTGTAAGTTGGTAGAGCTAGTATTTGCACTCTGACAGTCTGGCTCCAGGGTCTGTGTGTTTAATCACCGTGCTAAAAAAAAGCAGATACACCTCCTTAGGACTTTCCCTCTGGTGGGCACATCATCAAGAAGCTTCTACCGGCCTTTCTGTCGCCTCCGATGAAGCAGAACAGAGCCCCAGCTCCTCTTAGCTGTGGTTGCTACACAATCCCTGGCAACAAAACAGCCTCCTGTAGATCCCAGAACCATGGCCTGATGGCACTTCTTGAACAGTGTTAACCGCCAACATCAAAACTCACACCTAGGGAACTTAGAATGCTTAAAAATTGCTAAATTCTCTATCATTTATATACATAAATACATATATATATCCCTTATATATTATACACATCCTTACATACATGCATTATGGTACAGAGTTGTCCTTGTACTTAAAAGCTGAGTCAAGCTCTACCAACCAAAAGTTGCATGACCTTGGGGAGGCCTCATCGCTTCTCTGGAGCAACAGTATGAAATACGACCCCTAATAATAACAGCTGGTAAACACTGAGTAGTTACTGTACGTCAGGCACTGCATGGAGCACTTAGTGTAGATGATTTTATTTAAGCCTCCTTGAATCGCTCTGAGGTCCTCAGAAAGGATTAATAACATTCCCCAGATCACATAGCTCATAATTGAAGGAACAGATTCTAAAACAGACATTTCTGGTTCATAAGGCCATTTTTTTTAACCACATGCTGCGCAGGATTGAGAAATAAGCAGTGTTGCAGAAAATGGGTTGACAAATTCTTTCTATAAAGGTCAAGATAGTAAATATTTTTGTTTTTGCAGTCCATACAGTCTGTGTTGCAACTACTCAGCTCTGTCCATGAAGCATAAAGGCAGCTGTACACTAAGAAATGAATGGGTGTGGCTGCATTCCAAGAAAACTGTTTTAGACAATGGATATTCTTGGAGCTCCCAAGAGGGAGAGGTCAGGAAAGGTTTGAATGACCAGCGGATCTCTGCAGGAAGTACAACTGATGAAGTGTCTATAGACTTGAAGGGGTTTTCTGGCAAAGAAAGGGATGTCATTTCATTGGGACAAGGCCTGGAGTGGGCTAGCTAGAACTTGGGTCCCCCTGGTGCCCCTAGCTGAGAAGCAATGGCTAGGCTTGCATGGAAGGCTCTGCCTGCTCCTGCTGGAGCCCTGGGTGACTGAGAATCAGCAAGGAAGCCAGTACAATGGGGGCAGAGAAAGTGAAATCAGATAATAGAAGGAAATCTGGGAGGGAATGGGGATGTACAGACCTAATAGGTCACTGTAAGAACTTTCACTTTCTCCTGCATGAAAGTAGGACCTATAGAAAGATTGATCTGTTTCACATTTTTAAAGAATGTATTTTGAAGGTAAGCAACAGGATTTCCTGAGGCATGCATGGTGTCAGAGGGTCAAAGACCTACCAATGTTTTGTCCTTGATTTGAACAAAATTTGTGCTCCTATGTAATGGTCATTAATGACTGATTTCTAACCATATTCTTCTGAATGAAGTCTAATTTATAGTGTCCTTATTTAGAAAGATCACTAGGCCTCATCATCTGACCAAATTTTGTTGATTAATTTTGAATATGCAGTCAATGAAAATGGCTGTTAAGCCCAGGTCTTTCTCTTATAAAACTTGAGAAGCTGAGTTTTAGGAAGTAAAAGAAGGACTTCACATTTATACCCATTGAATGTGAACTTTTATATTCAGCTCAACATCCCAATTAATTCAGGTAATTTTAGCCTTCATTTCAATTATTCATTGTATTTGTACTGTGAGTCATTTGCAGTTTTATTCAGTGTATCTTCATCTAGACTGTTAAGAACCTGAAGGAGGAAGAACATTAGGTCAGATTTTTGAAGAGGTAGCTATAAATTCATCTATTCATTCATGCAACAAATATTTATTGAGCAGGTACTATATGACAGACACTTCTCTAGGATACCACATGGACAAAAATCCTTGCCCTCAAGACACTTACATTCCAATGGAGCAAGAAAGGCAGTTAACTAAATGAATATGTTAGATGGTGATAAGTTTTATGGAAGTGTAAGTTGGAGGGGAGGACTGGGCATGTTACAGTTTTTAGTAGGACAACCAAGGAGGCTCATACTAACTTGGAGTCACTAATCACTGATGTTTTGTTATGGTGCAGCCCGCTAAGAATCTGCTCAAATTACACTATCATCCAACAGATTTCTTCATCTAATTCACAAGGACTTCATTTGTGGTTTTAATAAATGCCTTCTTGAAATTAAGATAATGTGAACAGGGTGGGATAGTACATTGGAGTTCACAGAGATCTTTCAATACAATATATTGTTTCACCTGTTGTCCAGCCACCTGTGTCTACATTTTGTGAGGAAGAGGAAACAGGTATTAGTCGCATATCTATAGCTGGTGTATCTGATGTATGGGGGTTTTAAGTCAGCACCACATTTAGTAAATGCTGAATTCACCCCTCAGAGGTGGTGTTGGGTGGTTCTTTGAGGAGGAATGTGACCAACAGATGTGTTTGTTTGTCTTTAAGCTCTTCACAAACTTTGACTTAATCACTAACATTCAAAAATTGGGAGACGGCATGCCTATATCAGTTTTCCAGCCCTCTATTTTTTGTGGTGAATGTGAGACCTGGGCAGCACTAGGCTAGCCCTTCTCCAGGCACAGCAATTGGCTGAAACTAAATAATGCAGCCCCATTTGGACTGGGCGTGCCTCTCCAATTTGCCATCACCCCTACATATCCTGAGGCTCTGATGTGGGACTCTTCTCACCTAAGCCACCACGTGGCCCAACTTTGAGTCCTGGTCTGTGGTTTATACTACTTCGGTGAACCTTTAACCAGAAAAATTGGTATTATTTTGGCATTATTTGTCCTCAGTGATTCTCTTCTGACCTTAGTAGCCACACATTATTTTCCAATTGTTTGAAAAATGGTCAGTTTAATGATTTATTCTGTAATTTTGTTTAGAAATTAACATTAAGGATTCTTAGCTAGCCTATAATCTCTAAAATCTACTTTACCCCTACTGAAAATTGGGCAAATTTTTACTTTCCTCCAGACTTTTGGAATTTTTCTTGATCACTATCCTTTCTCAAATATTATTATGCATGGTTTTAAGGTTATAACTGTAACTTTTCTTCTGTTCCCTAAAATTAATTTACTTAGCTTCATTATATTGGGTTTAAAGTATTTTTTCCATCCTTTATATTTTAACAGTGATTTTTTTTCCTATTTCCTCTCTCTTTCTCTATTTCTAAAATATATGGTATATTTTACATTCCATGTCTTGAGAGACAGCTCAGATACTTGTAACCCCCAGTTCATGAATATGTAACCTGGCAGCCTCCACCCCTAATGGCTACATTTATTTATAGATTCTGGAAATTATTTTCCTGTTCAAAGGACATGTGACCCAGCACAAATCTGACCAACACAATCCCAGAGTTCCACAAGGGTGAGCAATGGATAGTCTGAGGGGGCATCTCTGTTCCCTGGTAACCAGGTCAGAGCCTGCTGTGGCCCAGGCTATGGGGACAGGCAAGGAGCAGGCAAAGGCTGTTGGAGAATGGGTAGACAGCTCAGGACAAGGACAGGACAGGTAGGTCCACAGTACCACGCTCATGGTTGATGCATTTGCTGCTGCCCAGGGACAGACACTGCAGGTGGCCAGCAAGCCTACACATTTACCCAGTCGTTGCATATCACACCCAGCTTTCCTTTCAACCAGTGTTTGCTTTTCACATTTGTGCTTCAGAGCCCCAGTTAGAACACTACGGAAGTGTCCAGTCCCTTCTCACAAGAGGAGAAGGTGCTTGACAAACCTCACCAGAACATGCAAATGTGCTCAGCCAGGTCTGGAGCCACCTCGAGAAGGATAGAAGGCCTAACGGGCAGGCCCAGGGAGTCTTCCTCATCGGCAGCAGCACTGCCTTCCCTTTCTGCTGCTGCTTTGGTGGGAAGCCCTATAAACTCTCTAATCTCAGCACCAGAGAGCATAGAAGCCTAACTACCTTCCCTTCCAGGAGATCTGTGGGGAGTAAATAAGTCTTGTGACTTCATCCCACTTAACCCAAATTAGCATATAGCTGGTTTTCAAAAATCCCAGCTCAACCTTCCCATGGGCTGGCTGTCCCATTCCTTACCCCCACCCCTTGAGCACGCCTCTCTGTTTGCCCTGTGTCCTTGCTGGGCTGACCACCTCCACAGCCATCCAAGCCCACCACCAAAACCTCCACAGCAATTCTTATGTTTCTTTTTCTTCCCTTTCTGCTGTTAAAAAATACCCCAGTTGCCAAGGCTCTCTTGAGGTTTTGTCTAACTGTCTCCATGCCTTTGAAGTCAAAGACATGCTTTTTCTCATCTTATTTTCTGTTCCCTGATTTGGCTAAATTTCTTAGCTGTCTGAATTCATATATTTAGTCTTTTCTTTTGTCTTCTTCTCCTACCAAACAACATGGCATCTCAAATCCAATTTCACTCTGATCATTTTCTTCACAAGACAAGATCCTACCATATGATCCATAACTATTTGGAGAGTAGGGAGGGTGCTGGGAGGGAAGAACTACTTTTTCTAATTTCCATTGTAAGCAAAGAAGCATGGGAGGGTGGGAGTCATTGCTGGCCTCCCAGAGCTGTGTGTGTGGTGAGTGGGGACAGGGCGAACAACAGAACTGCCAAGGTACAGGTTTATCTGCTAGTCTTCTCCTTCCCAGAACCCTTTTGGTTTTCCAGGATGATGCCTTGCTTTCAAATTCGATAGACAATAAACAAGGATGATTCACCCAACTCAGGCTCGTGAAATTAATCCTGGAGAACATATGCCCCTTTTTGCTGAATAGCAATAAACCTAATGGGTGTCACCGAAACGGATAATAAAATGACACAAACACAGAACGGCTAGAAAAAAACCACATCCTCTGAAGGCCTAGATAAGATTAGCCTCGGGAAGTGGATGGGGGAGAATGTTGTCTCATTCCAGCTTTGTCTCCATAGCCTGCCCACCAGCGATGGATGGAGTGCATGGAGGAGACAGGAACCTTCTTTGAACCTACTCTGGCAGCCTTGTTTGTTCATGAGGCCTTCTGCCCGGGCACTCAAAGTGCTGTATGTGAGGGCTCTTCCCCAGCCCATGTCCCCTGTCCCTTCCCACTCAACCCATCCTCTGTAATTTCCTGAGTGATAAAGGTGCCAGGAACATATTTTGTTCTAATATGTGGTCTTTAACTCCAGTTCTTGATATAAGAGCTTGTAAGACCCATGGGATCTCTGGAGTGATAGGAATATATTTTTGTATGCTAATGAGATGACTGATGGCTGGGGTCCCTAGCTTTAGGATGGTGGCTGGTCACCAAAAGACTAATGCATTATTAGAAGGTTGGAACTTTTAGTTCCAGTTCCAATCTTGGGAATAGGAGAGGGACTGTGATTTAACCCACCATACCTACATAATGGAACTTCCATAAAAACCCTACACAAGGGTTCAGAGAGCTTGTGCATTGGTGAACACATGCACATGGTCATCAAGGAGGGTGGGAATCTCAATTTTGTGGAAACAGAAGTTCCTGTGCTCAGAACTCTTCACCCCGTGTACTTCTTCTTTTGGCTCTTCATCTGAATCCTTTAAAATAAACTGGTAAATGTAAGTAAAGTGTTTCTCTGAGTTCTGTGAACTGTTAATAGCAAATTGTAGCTACACTTCCTGAGGAAGGGGTGTGTGAACCCCCAGTTTATAGCTGGTTGGCTAGAGCTACAGTGATACCCTGGGACGTGTAACTGGCATTTGATAAAATGGACAGTCTTGTGGGACTGAGCCCTTAGCTTGTGGGTCTGCATTGACTTCGAGCAGTTAGTGTCAGAATTGAATTGTAGGACACCCAGTTGATGTTTGGACAGTTGAAGGACTGGTTGGTGTGACTCTACCCCTCACTCCCCAATTTGGTGTCAGAAGTTTTGTGAGTAGAGAAATAGGTTTTCTTTTAATGACAATGTGAATGGCATTCATGATGGACCATGTATTAAACAATTTCTTGCACATATTTTTATTTTCTGTTGAAATAATAATTGCTTTGTTTTGTTTGCTTTTTGCTCTCAAACAATTTTTCAATAGTCTAAATCTTTCTTAACAATTTTGGTTGCATCTGGTACTCTTTAAGGTTTTATTTGCCTGAAAAAATCTCTCATGGAAGCCTGGACTTATCTACATGGTTGGTGCCCCTCTCTTCATCCTGAGGTTCCATCCTTTGGAGGAGTAAGTCCCAGAGAAAGAGTATATAGAAAGTAAGCTTTTTTTTTGAGTCTTGATCTGAAAAGTATTTATTTTGCCCTTGCACTTGAGTATCCTGACAGAGAATTCTAGGTTAGAGATAATTGTGATAATTGTTCCATTGTCTTCTACCTTCCCAAATTACCTTTGAAAAGCTGAAAGCCATTCTAATTCCTAGTATTTTGAAAGTCCCTTCCTCCTCACCCCTTTCCCTCTCTATGAGCTTGTAGGAGCTTCTATCCATGCTCAGGGTTCTGAAATTTTATGATGATGGGCTAGATTCTTGGCAGGTCTTTATACTATGAAAGCCCCTGTCCTTTAGTTCTGGGAATTTTTCAATTGTTTTGTTGATACTTTTTCCCCTTCACTCTATTTCTCTCTTTTTAGAACCTCTAAGCCTTGGCTACTGGATATCCTGGATTATTCACATAGTCTTTTCTTTGACCTTTCTTCGTTTTTTTTTGCTTTACTCTGAGAATTTTCCAAAGTTTTACCTTCTAACTCTTCTGTTGAGTTTTTAATTTCAGATACCATGCATTTAATTCCTAAGAGCTCCCCTTAAAATTTTCTTGACTGTGTCTTTTAACATACTGTTTTTTTTTATTTTAGTATCATTAATCTACAATTACATGAAGAACATTATGTTTACTAGGTTCCTCCCTTCACCAAGACCCCCTACATACCCTTTAACAGTCACTGTCCATCAGTGTAGTAATATGCTGTAAAATCACTACTTGTCTTCTCTGCATTGTAGAGCCTACCCTATACCCCCCACATTATACATGCTAATTGTAATGCCCCTTTCTTTTTCCTGCCCTTATCCTTCCCTTCAAACCCATCCTCCCCAGACCCTTTCCCTTTGTAAATGTTAGTCCATTCTTGGGTTCTGTGATTCTGCTGCTGTTCTGTTCCTTCAGTTTTTCTTTGCTCTTATACTCCACGTATGAGTGAAATCATTTGGTACTTGTCTTTCTCTGCCTGGCTTATTTCACTGAGCATAATACCCTCTAGTTCCATCCATGTTGTCACAAATGATAGGATTTGTTTTCTTCTTATGTCTGAAAAATATTCTGTTGTGTATATGTACCACATTTTCTTTATCCATTCATCTACTGATGGACATTTAGGTTGCTTCCATTTCCTGGCCACTGTAAATAGTGCTGTGATAAACATAGGGGTGCATCTGTCTTTTTCAAACTGGTCTGCTGCACTCTTAGAGTAAATTCCTAAAAGTGGAATTCCTGGGTCAAATGGTATTTCTATTTTAAGCATTTTGAGGAACCTCCATACTGCTTTCCACAATGGTTGGAATAATGTATATTCCCACCAGCACTGTAGGAGGTTTCCCTTTCTCCACAACCTCACCAACATTTGTTGTTGTTTGTCTTTTGGATGGTGGCGATCCTTACTGGTGTGAGGTGATATCTCATTGTGCTTTTAATTTGCATTTCTCTAATGACTAGCCATGTGGAGCATCTTCTCATGTGTCTGTTGGCCATCTGAATTTCTTCTTTACAGAACTGTCTATTCAGCTACTCTGCCCATTTTTTAATTGAATTATTTGATTTTTGTTTATTGAGGTGTGTGAGCTCTTCATATATTTTGGATGTCAATCCTTTATCAGATCTGTCATTTATGAATATATTCTCCCAAACTCTAGGATACCTTTTTGTTCTATTGATGGTGTCCTTTGCTGTACAGAAGCTTTTCAGCATGATATAGTGCCATCTGTTCATTTTTGCCTTTGTTTCCCTTGCCCAGGGAGATATGTTCATGAAGAAATCACTCATGTTTATGTCCAAGAGATTTTCACCTATGTTTTTTTTCGAAGAGTTTTATGATTTCATGACTTTGATCCATTTCGAATTTAATTTGTGTATGGGGTTAGACAGTGATCCAGTTTCATTTTCTTACATGTAGCTGTTCAGTTTTTCCAGCACCATCTGTCGAAGAGATTGTCATTTCCCCATTCTATGTCCATGGCTCCCTTATTGTATATTAATTGACCATATATATTTGGGTTAATGTTTAGAGTCTCTATTCTGTTCCACTGGTCTGTGGCTCTGTTCTTGGGCCAGTACCAAATTGTCTTAATTACTGTGGCTTTGTAGTAGAGCTTGAAGTTGGGGAGCGAGATCCTCCTCACTTTTTTCTTCCTTCTTAGGATTGTATTGGGTATTCAGGGTCTTTGATGGTTCCATATGAATTTTTGAACTATTTGTTCCAGTTCATTGTAGAATACTGTTGGTAATTTGATAGGTATTGCATCAAATCTGTATATCGCTTTGGGCAGGATGGCCATTTTGATGATATTAATTCTTCTTATCCAGGAGCATGGGATGAGTTTACAGTTGTTAGTGTCCTCTTTAATTTCTCTGAAAAGCGTCTTGTAGTTTTCAGGGTATAGGTCTTTCACTTCCTTAGTTAGGTTTATTCTTAGGTATTTAATTCTTTTTGATGCTATTGTGAATGGAATTGATTTCCTGATTTCTCTTTCTTTTAGTTCGTTGTTAGTGTATAGAAAAGCCACAGATTTCTGTCTGTTAATTTTGTATCCTGCAACTTTGCTGAATTCCAATATTAGTTCTAGTAGTTTTGGAGTGGAGTATTTAGGGTTTTTTATGTACAGTACCATGTCATCTGCAAATAGTGACAGTTTGACTTCTTCTTCACCAATCTGGATTCCTTGTATTTCTTTGCTTTGTCTAATTGCTGTGGCTAGAACCTCCAGTACTATGTTGAATAACAGTGGGGAGAGTGGGCATCCCTGTCTTGTTCCCAATCTCAGAGGAAAAGCTTTCAGCCTCTCGCTGTTCAGTATAATGTTGGCTGTGGATTTATAATATATGGCCTTTATTATGCTGAGGAAATTGCCCTCAATGCCCATTTTGTTGAGAGTTTTTATCATGAATGGATGTTGAATTTTGTCAAATGCTTTTTCAGCATCTATGGAGATGATGATGTGGTTTTGGTCCTTCTTTTTGTTTATGTGGTGGATGATGTTGATGGATTTTCGATTGTTGTACCATCCTTGCATCCCTAGAATGAATCCGACTTGGTCATAGTGTATGATCCTTTTGATGTATTTCTTAATTCAGTTTGCTTATATTTTGTTGAGTATTTTTGCATCAATGTTTATCAGGGATATTGGTCTGTAGTTTTCTTTTTTTGTTGGAGTATTTGCCTGGTTTTGGTATTAGAGTGATGCTGGCTTCATAGAATGAGTTTGTGAGTATTCTCTCCTCTTCTATTTTTTGGAAAAGTTTAAGGAGAATGGGTATTATGTCTTCTCTGTATGTCTGATTAAATTTTGAGGTAAATCCATCTGGCCCGGGGGTTCTGTTCTTGGGTAGTTTTTTGATTACCACTTCAATTTCGTTGCTGGTAATTGGTCTGTGTAGATTTTCTGGTTTTTTCTGGGTCAGTCTTGGAAGGTTGTATTTTTCTAGGATGTTGTCCATTTATCCTAGGTTTTACAGCTTGTTAGCATATAGGTTTTCATAGTATTCTCTAATAATTCTTTGTATTTCTGTGGGATCCATCGTGATGTTTCCTTTCTCATTTATGATTCTGTTGATGTGTGTTGACTCTCTTTTTCTCTTAATAAGTCTGGCTAGAGGCTTATCTATTTTGTTTATTTTCTCAAAGAACCAGCTCTTGGTTTCATAAATTTTTATCTACTTTATTCTTCTCAATTTTATTTATTTCTTCTCTGATCTTTATTATGCCCCTCCTTCTGCTGACCTTAGGCCTCATTTGTTCTTCTTTTTCCGATTTCGATAATTGTGACATTGGACTATTCATTTGGGTTTGTTTTTCCTTCTTTAAATATGCCTGGATT